CTGTGGAGCAACAGCTCAGTATTAGCCAATTCAGTGCTCTTGGTGACTTTATAGAACGTGACAATTGTGAATGATGGGAATCAGCTGTACTTATCTCATTTGGCTGTTCTAGAGCAAGAATTAATATTCCCATTTGCAAGATGAAGAGACTTAGGCTTACTGATTTAGACAAGATCACAGAGCCTAAAAAGAAGGGGGAAAGGGAAAAAAAGAGCTCAACGTTCCAGCTCTTAGTTGAGTATTCAAATACATTTCAATCTTTCACCAGATTGAGAGAGAAAGAAAAGAGGGGAGAGGGAAAGAAATGACAAAAATGGGACAGAAGCTTAAGAAGCAGCTTTAATACCATGTTGGAAAGAGTCAAACTGTAGTTAGATAATAAGATAATAGACCATTTTTAGGTTAAACCCTCATAGAAAACAAACTGTTCTAATAGGCTTTACTGAAATGGAGCCGTAACAGTCGAGCTTAGTTTGGGTTTCCTTTCTCCCCCTGTGCTCTTTGCTCATGGCCTCTCCAAAGGCAATAAATACTTGTTAAATGAACACACAGACTTGGGAACTCCACCTTGGTGTCTCATCAAGAAGCAAAGCTTAAAATGTTTTCATAGCATCTAAGTCATATGATTTTTTTGAAGTTGAGTTTAAAGCATTTTCAACAAAATTTAATGTATATGAGAAGCCACTACATGCCAAAGTGCTTTCAAGGCTGCCAAAGACAAAAATTCATCAACAAGTTTATAAAGAGCTTGGTATTAGGAGTCTAAAATAAGATCATTTTTCTAAACTTAAAAGAAATATGAGTATTCACTAGGTTCCCCAAGTGTTCCTTGAGTTCTAACATGCTATAGTCATTAATACCAGAATGTTTATGTCTGGTTGTAAGTATATATTTTTTAAGTCTTTATATTTTTATAATTACCTTAAAAGTATTTTATTAAATCAGAAAATCCAAGGTTGTTTTTAATTTTCAGATCCAAATCTCAATTCACATGATACACAGTAATGGCTATGAACTGCCGTTAAATACTATACAGGTGTTGAAAATTAGTAGGGGTTGACAGTGCATATTGAACTAACTGCAGTGGTTCCAACGGGGGTCATTAAGACCCCTTTGCCTCAAAGCATCTGCTGTGTTCTCACCCTACTTTATTATTAGTCTCACGGAATAAAAATAGCACTCACAATTTGAAAATTATCTTTAAACAATGCAAACGTGTTACGACGGAGCTGAGAAAAGTGTTAGGAGACCCGTATAAGAAGATCTTTCTACTTGCAGCAGACTTGCCTAGTAAATGGCAAAACTAAGAATTTTGAATGATTCCAGTAAAACTGACCCTCCCTGGGCACAAATGAAGACTCTTTCCTGTCCAATGAACAGTAGGACTTGTTTTAACCAATTATGTGGAGACTTAAAATTCATCCTGCCTTCTCCAAGGTGTAAATTTCAATCCTTAATTGGCATCACCACAGTGAACTGCTTTCTAGCACATGGCAAACATAAACTGTCCCTGTGAGGGAACCATTTGGCAAAACTGCACCTTTGTATGAGTTTCCTTATCTGGCAAGTAAGTAAATTCCTGTGCATTTTCAATCACTGCAGTGGTTCTGTCTGTCAACAAATTTAAAGTAGAAGTTACAACAACCGTAGTTGGCCTTTTCCTGTTGTTTTCGTGCCTATTTTTCCCCCCAAAACATGGTTTATTACTTGCTACCATTTGCTGTTTTCTAACACAAAATACCTGTCCTTATATTTCTATTATCTTATTGTTGAAAACACCCAAAAAGATTTCTATTATTTTCTAATATTTCTAAATATTTATATTATTTTAGCAAACAAAAAATCAGAAAGTTATGGGAAAATCATATCCTACCCCCAAATCCTGAAAGCATGAGAAGATAGAAAATCGTAATGAAGTAAGTCTAATGAACTTCTGGAGATTCTATAATACCTTCACACCGAAAGGAATAATGGTGACACTAAATATAATGGAAAAGCTTTTAATACAGTACAAATTATCATTAGAGTAATACTACAGTATTAAATGACTTTATCCAAAATTAGAAAACATTTAAATAGAAGGCACTAGAATTTCTAATTAGTTTCCTCTAGTTCTTTCCCAGCTTTAAATCTATATCCTTTGATCCCTCAATTCCACTTGGTTGTCTTCTACTCTCGTGGTAATGTCCTGAACAAATGTCATCTCCTTTGCTGTGTTTCCTGACCAAAGCGTCAGTCTCAAAACTTCTGGCCTAACCAAGTGTCCCTTCATCCATGTTCTCAAAGTATGTCATACTTACTTCCAGTATGTAATTTGTCACACATTATTCTAGTTAATTACATACATGTCTGCTCTTCTAATAGGATTTTGTGTTTTGTAAAAGCACAGGATGTCTGATCTATCTTTGGGTCTCTCTGATCTTTGGATCTGACATGATTCCTAGGTATTACATTGGTGATCATTAAATCTGCTTCCACCACTGAAATAATAGGAGGTAGTATGTGCTACACTGGATTTTCTTAAGCCCCACAACTCTGTCCCAAATCTCATACATTAATATGTATAATATATGTGCATGTGTGTTTACAAGTCTGAAATTTAAAAGTTCCATACTTTATAGGTAGTCATCAATGGTGTGTTAAAATAAATTACTCAAAATTTAATTAATGACACGTGCCCAGCACATTTCCTCATGTCACATAGTTGATTATATTTGATGACAAAAATACAAACGAATATGTTTGATCAGAGAAGAAAAAAGAGCAATGATCTAAAAATAGAATTAGAAATATTCCTTATAGATTTACAGTGTGACACAGGGGCCAAATAGTGAGATTGTGGATTTTGATATATCTGGGTTCAAATCTTAGCTCAATCACAAAATTGACTGGTGATCTTGGTAAAAGTAACCAATCTCCCTGAACCTTTAGACTAGAGATTATATCTAATTTATGGTGGGATTAGATAAAACAAAGGATGTAAAGTTGTGGGTAGAGTGACTACTAACCTGGAGGCACTTGATTAATTGAGCTCTTTGCATTATTCTATCTTCTTCTCTGTTAAATTCTGGGTCGGAGGCTTAAGCATGGTTGGTCCCAGAAAAGATTTACCAACTGTCTACTAGACCTACTGAACTCCTAGCTAGGCTTGGAAGGTCTTATTTTTTGGCCAAGTCCATGGTGGTAACTAAGCTTACGCAATAGCTTGAGAAGTAGACAAAACAAAACAAAACAAACAAGCCTTGATGAGAAACAAAGTAGGCAGGGGGGTGAGTGGTGACATGCTTTACTTCCCTGTATCAGCCAGAAACCAAGTGGCTTGCTGCTTAATTATTCAAACAGACTTACAACCTTTTAGAGATGGAACAGAATGTCTAGTGATCCTGGCTTTACTAATGGGGAAACTGAGGCTTAGGAGCAAAATAACTAGTCTGAATTTCCACAGCTAGTTGGCAGCTGATGAGGGAAAAGAGAGCAGCTTTCTTGACATCCGGTCCAGTGCTTTCCTTGTAAGCAGTCACACCTCTTGCTCAGATGAAGAAAGTGATACCAACTAGGACAGCAAGTTTCCAAACCCTGGATCAGCTTACCTACCACTGCAGAAATCTTCCAAAGGATATAAACCAGAAAACCCTCACAGGAAATACACACATTTTATTTCTAGTTAGAGTCGCACTCCTCTTTCTCATCCCATGTTCTTTCGTGCCCTGATGCTTGTGGATGGATCTTGTGTGAGTTTCAGACACTCTTACTGTCTCTTTGGCCAAATGTCTGGGTGAGAACTAAGCCAGAGGTCTGCTCTGTGTTTACATCCCTTGGGTCACCTTGGATCATGCTTGGCCTTTTAAGGCCAGTAGGCACCCGAAGCAGGAAACAGCCATGTTCATCTCACTGCATCAGCCTCCACAGATAGAGGGGGCCCAGGTATTAAAAACAACCACGAAGAGCAGAGCCACTATCATCTTATAGAGCCCACTATGCAATTTGGAATATGCTGAGTGATTTACATATATTTCTTCTTTAATCTCTATATGACCTATACTTACTATGCTCATTTTATATATTTATAGATGAGAAAGCTGAGGTCAAGTGATGTACCTAGACATGCACATCAGCGGCAGAACTGAGTGTCAAACCCAGACTCCATGCTCTTAACAGTTACAACACTGCCTTTCATTTTGGTAGAGAGATCAAAGAGTGTCTGCTTCTGTTAAGGGTTCTTTATAGAAAATTCCCTCCATTCGCTAAGTTGTGTCTCTTCCACGAGGGATGTCCAATTTTGCATTTTTAAAGACATTATTTTTCTCACAAACATATCAAAACTCTCTTCTGTGTAGGAAAGAATATGCAGGCGCAGGTGAAAGACTCGAATTCTTCCTAAAGGTTGGAGTTTGCCCTTTACAGTGAAGGAAATTTTATTACTCTTCATTCAGAAAAGACTATCTCCACCCGTAAACTGCTTTTCTGAAAACTCCAGGAGCTCTTGTTATAAAACCATTTCTTTTTTATAAATCATATGGGGCTGGGGAATGGTTTTTCTTATGTTTCTTTTGAAATGACTATGGGAAGAAACAAGTCAAAGACATGTGTAAGTGAATATCCCCACTCTCTACATATCTGTTGTATGTGCATGCAAGAATATATACACACGTATACAGTCTTCTCACTAAAACACATGTGACTTGGCTTCACAAAAGCCAATACTCCAAAGTTTCATTTGCCATCTTTTGGTGCCAACTAAATGCCAGCCAATAGGCTGGGCTCTGTGAGTTTTGTGTAGGATGAGCTGACCCTGCTCTCAAGTTCTCGGTCAAGGATACATGTCTTTATATACACTTCAGTAATTTATCAGAGGAAACCAACTTTCCTATATAATTAGGATTTTGTTCTTAGTTCCTGGAAATAATTACCTACAGTCAGAGAACACTGGCGTTGAATGTATCAATTAAAACTGTTTATAACATACACATGACCATTTTCCTCAGCATGGTTTATCTTACCTTGTTGATCTTTTGGTGGCACTGATAAAGAATTCTGCATTATGATGTATTTGACTTGAATGACAACGTCCCTAAAAATAACCAAGCACAAATAATAATTAGAAGACAATTCAGATGCCTTGTTCATACATCTGAAAAATATAAATTATAAGCTCTTTAAAATTTCTTCCTATTTATAATTACAGGAGTAGTAAGAAATGGACTGAACTATTAAGAAACTAATGTTTTTATTTCCTTCTCATTGCCATACAGACAGGATTTTACTGCATGTACTAGTGTGGGCAGCAATGACACTATGAGAGAGGAATTGTATCAGCATCTCTGTTCAGCTTAGAAGGCCAGAGAAATGTGAAAGCTGGAAGAATTAAGATCCCCTAAAACTGCCTTGCCAGATAATTATGTTTCATGTACTCTATTTAAGGAGAAATAATTAAAATATTTAACAATACAGGTAAAGGTAGTTTAGTTGTAATATACTTATTTGATGAAATATAGTTCAGTCATCAAGATACAATTATGAAGATTATGTAGCACAATGGAAAATGCACTGAATGAACACCCTAAATGACATACACTGTAGGATTACAACTATATAAAAAACAAAGGTATAGCAAAATGCATGACAGGCAATAAGTAAGCTGTGGTTTGGCAATGTGTTTGCTGAGGCATTACATGTGTTTTTTCCTTTAATTTAGCTATCTTCCAACTTGTTTATAATACAAGCTATTTTCCAAATTGTCTATAATATATATTCAAACTATTTGAATATAAAAATAAGGCAATTAAAGGCATTGGAAAAAATATAGATAAATATCTTATAAGCTAGCATATACAAAAGTGTTTCTAGCATGACACCAAAGACAGAAGCCATGAAGGTAGACATGAATTTTCTATTTAAAATTGTAAATGCTTTTAAATAGAAAATTGGCCAAAATTAAAAGGCATGACTTCTGCTATAGCCAAATTGAGTAAGAGAGACAAGATTTGTTCTTCTGCTTGAAACAACCAAAAATATAGACAAAACATGTGAAACAGTATTTCAAAACACTGGACATCAGATCACAAAAGACGGATCTCCTGGAAGACAGAAAACAAATGAGATGAGCCGTATGGCAATGTTGTAGGAAGGGAAGACCCTAGTGGAAAAAAGAGCTATAGAAAGAGAAAGACAGAGCATTGGAGAGGGTCTCCAACAAGTATTTGCTTATGTACTGTTCAGTAGGTCATGAGAAGATCCAAGCTGCTCAACACTCATGGTGGGGCAGGAATATATTGCCTATTCCCACCAGTCATATTACCTATTCCCACCAGCCAGACTGAAAACACCCCTAATTCAGGACATCAAGTAGAGCACAAAAAAGGGTCTTGCCTTAGTAAAGGGAAAAAATTAATTAATCCCTACACCAAGCATTTCTCTGGTTTCTTTTGTTTGTTTGAGAGAGAGAGAGAGGGAGATAGAGAGTGTATGTGTGTGAGTGCATGCCAGGGGGGGTGGGGACAGAAGGAGAGAAGAAAGAGAAATCTTAAGCAGGCTCCACAACTAGCACTGAGCCTCACGTGGAGCCCACCATGGAGCTCAATCTCACGACTGTGAGATCATGACCTGAACTGAAATCAAGAGTTGGATGCTGAACAAACTGAGCCACCCATGCATCCCTCTCTGGTTTCATATAAAAAATCTTAAAGCAAGACTGAAAAGGAACAAGCTATTTCCAAGTGTCTTAACTGTGCATTTAGCACAAAACTCAAGAATATTTACAGACCTCCAAAAATATCACACAACAAGGTAAAATTCATAGTGTCTAACATCTAATTAAAAATTATTAAGCATGCAAAGAAGCAAAGAAACATGAGCCATAATACAGAAGATAATCACAACTGATCCTGAACTGACACAGATGTTAGAATTAGTGGTCAAATTTCAAACTGTAATTAAGTAATAACTATATTTCATATGTTCAAATAGTTAAATATAGACAGGAAAGATATTAAAAAGACCCACGTAAAATTTCCAGAGATGAAAACTATAATATATAAAATGAAAATACACTGGATGGGATTAACAGCATATTAGCCATGTCAAAAAAAAAATGTCAGCAAACCTGAAGGCATAGTAATAGATTTTTTCCAAAATGAAACCCAGAAGGCAAGAGTAAAAAAAGAAAAGAGAAGAAAAGAAGAAATGATTAGTGAGCAACAGGGAAACGTCAAGCAGCCTAAATATATCAGTAATTGGAGAGGTGAAAGAAAGACAAAAAAAAAAATCATTTTAGAAATAATGGCAGAAATTTTTCCAAATTTGAGTAAAGCTATGAACACACAGATCTTAAAAGCTCAAAAACCTGAAGCACAAAAACCCACAAAAACTATACCAAAGAATATTATGACCAAATTGTTCAAAAATAGGGGAAAAATGTTTTTAAAGGCATTCCAAACGTATCTTATGTATAGAGGACTTGTTGTTGGAAACAATGCAAGTGAGAAGACAGTGGAACAGCATCTTGGAAATACTGTAAGAAAAAAAACCTGTAAGCTAGAATTCTATGTTCAGAGACAGTATCTTTAAAAAATAAAGGAGAAATGAAAGATATTTTTGTAAAAACAAAAGCTGAAAAATTCATTACAAGTCCACTACACTATAAAAATGCTAAATAATGTCTTTTAGGCATAAAGAATAAAACACTAGAATAAAACCAACATCAGTTGGTTAAGCATCTGATAGGATATGGATCCATATATAAGAAGGAAAAATACTAGAAATGGGCACTACATGGTAAGCACACAAGGCTTTTTTCCCTTAATATTTAAATCTCCTAAAAATATAACTATTTAAATAAAAATAATTAAGAATGCAATGTGGGGTTTAAAACATATGTAAAAATGATACATGATAACAACAGGACCAAAATTGAGAGGGGAGTAATATAAGTATATAATTGCAAGTTTCTTATATTATCAGTGAAGTCATATAATATCACTAGAAAGTAGATTATGGTAAGTTAAACATGTATATTATACATCTGAAAGAAATACCTATAGTCACTAAACAAAGAGTTTTAGATACAAAGCCAACAATAAAAAAAAAAATGGAATCATAAGGGCACCTGGGTGGCTCAGTTGGTTAAGCATCTGATTTCGGCTCAGGTCATGATCTCCTGGTCCATGAGTTTGAGCCCTGCATCGGACTTTGTGCTGACAGCTCAGAGCCTGGAGCCTGCTTCAGATTCTGTGTCTCCCTCTCTCTCTGCCCCTCCCCCACTCATGCTCTGTCTCTCAAAAATAAATAACGTTTAAAAAATTTAAAAAAGTGGAATCATAAAAATATTCAGGTTTTCAAGGGAAAATGAAAAAGGAATAAAACAGATGGGAAAAATAGAAAGAAAATTAGCAAGATGATAGATTAAAACCTAATCATACCAATAATAATATTAAATATAAGTGATCTACATATTATAATAAAAGATAATGTTTGGATAAATATGCAAGGTTAAACTATATACAGCCTTGAGAAAGGAACTTTAAATATGGAGATACAAACAGATTATAAGTAAAAGAATGGAAAAAGATAGATCTTGTTAGTAGTAGACAAAAGAAAGGTAGAATGGCTATATTAGTATAAGAAAAAGTAGATTACAGAGCAATGAATAGTAGCAGGCATTAAGAAGGTCATTTCATAATTATAAAAGGTCAACTCATCAGAAAGAGACAATAATCCCAAATGTTTATGTCCCAAATAGCTGAGCTTCAAAATACATAAAGCAAAAACTGATAGCACTGCAAGGAGAAATATACAATAATTCATAATCAATAATAAAAGACAGAAAAATCACTAAAGATATTAGAGGTCAATTTGGCCTGACATTGATAAAATATTCCAACCAACATAACAGAATACATGTTGTTTTCAAAGCATATAAAATATTTATCAAGACAGACTATATTCTGGGCAATAAAAACACTTATGAGGATTCAAGTCACTTAATGTATGTTCTCTGACCACAATGGAATTAAAGTAGAAAACAAAACAAAATCACAAATACAACCTGGAAAATCTCTAAATATTTGTTCATTAAATCACATACTTATAAATAACCTATGGGTTCAAAGAAGAAATCAAAATAAAAATTATAAAGTTGTTTGAACTGAGTGGAATGCAAATACAACATATCAAAAAGCAGTACATAGGGGGAAGTTGAGAGTGCTAATCATCCTTTTGAGTAAATAAAGTAGCTCTCAAGTCAATGACCTCAGTTTCTACCTTAAAAACCAGAAAAAGCACAAATTTAACCCAAAGTGGAAGAAAAGAAATAAGAGATTAGAGAAGAAATAAGTGAAATGAGCAACAGAAAAATAGACAAAAATAAATTAAATCAAAAGCAGATTTTTTTTTGAGAACATCAATAAATTAGATAAACTTTTAGTTTAATTAATCAGAAGAAAGAAGATACAAATGACCAATATCAGGAATGAGAGGTGACATCACTATAGACACTAATGCTATTAAAAAGATAATAGGGATCATTACAAACAACATTTTGGCAATAACTTTGATTATTTAAATAAAATGAGCAAATTCCCTGAAAGACACAAACTACCAAAGCTCACTCAAGAAGTGAGCCTTAAAGTCATAAGAAACTCTTAAATACAGAAAACAATCTGAGGGTTGATGGGGGTGAGGGATGGGGAGGTGGGTTAAATGGGTGATGGACATTGTGCAGAGTACTTGTTGGGATGAGCATTGGGTGTTATATGTAAGTGATGAATCACTGGGTTCTACTCCTGAAGACAGGGCTACATTGTATGTTAACTAACTTTAATAAAATAAAATAAAAGAATAAAAAATAAATAAAAATAAAAATAAATTAAAAAAAAGAAGTTAGACTTATATTTTCAAAGAAAATGAACTCCTAGTTAAAAACCTTTCCTCAAAGAAAACTCCAAACCCAAATAGTTGCTATGATGAAATCTACTGAATATTTAAAGAAGCAATAACCAATTATATGCAAATATTTCCAGAAAATTGAAAATGAGGGAATTCTAACAACCTAATTCTATGAGGCCAGTAGCACAC